GAGGGAAGCCACGTTACCGCGACGAGAAAGTGACCAAAACCAAGATGCCAGGTCAGGATTGATAACATTGTCAAATCTTCTTTGTATTTTGTCAAGAATCTCGAGATATACAGCAGGATCACCAGATCATATCTGGTAGCAATATTCACTGCATGGTAGAATGGTAGATTTAAAACATACAAGGCAGATCCTGGCATGAAAATTGTCTGACACAAAACAATGAACCAACTTTCTTAGTAACAGACATAACAATTGATTTAATATAATAATTTCACTTTATAGAACAACTTAGAAAAGCAAACCAATTCATTTCGCTGGCTCAGCAACATGAAAAGGAAGTTTAATGAGATGGATGTTCTTGATACAAGGATATTAGCTTCTTAACATCGAGTTGAAAGGGCCAGAGAAGTCATTTTCTGTTGGCTTCTCTGCTTGGGAAGACGTGAGAGGAAAACCTGCTCTACTAAATATTATATAGGCACCAACATGAGATCGCTGGAAAATGAGTATAGCAGGATAATAACGGCCTTAAACTTGATGAAAATAATTTTTTATCGTCTATATGTTTATGTTATTATCAAGAGGAAAGATCAAAGTATTTTTTGATTATTTTTTTACATTTTTTAATAATTTCTAGCGCGTCCAAAATTTTCGCTAAAAATCTTGTTTTTTTTATCAGCAAAATTGACAGAAAATCGATCGTCAGCCATTTTTTTAAACTTTTGTTAACAAAAGTGAAAGTCTCCGTTTAAAATTCGTTTAAAAAATCAATTATGATTTTTTTTAAATTAATTTAAGAAAATTAGAAATTATAAAGTTTATTTAATGTATTTTGAAACAAACATTACTTACTTTCTGCGCTGAAAAATAATGTACTTTCAAATGATAGAAAGCCGGTCTTAACAGGTTTTGATTGGCAAGTAACGTGTGCGTGATTTCATCTTACGGGAGAAAAAGTTGTAGTACGGAAGGTCACAAGTGACAGTTTAGTTTTATGTGAACAACTTATTTATCTCGTTATTTTTAAATAGGCATAGCATGATAAAAACAGCCTTAAACTTGACGAAAGCAAAATTTTATCGTCAAAATATTTATGTTACTACCAACGCAAACCACGTGACGGATATTGTTTTCATGATGCTTTCGGTCTTCCGTATATTTGAATTTAAACTATTTTGGGGCACAAAAAACATGTTATATTAAATTTGTAGCTATTGGCAACTTGCTGATTGTAACCAGCTTTATTTTATAATCTGTAAATGATATCTATCTACTTAATAATACCATTCACTAAACTGTACAATATTTTCATTAATTTTAGAATATTTAACAACTTTAATGTAAAAAAAATAAAATAATTTAAGAAATAAAAAATAATTGTTGTAAAAATTTATTTTTCATCGAAAACGTTTTTTGCTTTCAGAAAATATTATCCATATTCACACAAACAACTAAAAGCAGTCAAAGCTTTTGAAATTAAATAGTATCTTTGTTTTATTGAGTTTTGTATGAGTTTTCATAAAATTAATTATGGGGGGGTAATAAATATAAAAAAGTTTCCCATGACTTTAAAAGAAATAAATATAATTATAATAATTTCCATCATTTGTGAATAGTTTCTGAAAGTTTCATTAAAATCCGGCAATTATTTTTATTTTTACAAGATTTTCAAAATTAATGACTGCCATTAAAAAAAATACACAAAAATCCGCCATGTTATTTTGTAGGACACTCATTGATGATGAGAAACGAGGTTTTTTCAATCAAAAGTTAGAATGTATTAATAAAGACAGAAACATTTTGAAAAATAATTAAAAATTACTTGGTTCTTTCCTCTTAATAAAAACATAAACATTTTGACGATAAAATTTTGTTTTCGTCAAGTGTAAGGCCGTTATTATCCTGCTATGCTCATTTTCCAGCGATATCATGTTGGTACCTAATATTATGTAAGAAAGAAATTTTTTAAAAAGTTACCTAGTTTTAATGCCATCACCTAGCAACCACTTTTTCTAACCGATCTCTACTGCCTCTTTATTCTCACTAAACCCCTACCTAGGATCTTTATACGGTTCCCTGATTTAAACAAGTGTTTCCCAACATTTTTTCTTCTTGGGTCCCATTTTCGGTGACAAAAGAATTTCAAGCCCACATAAGCACAAATAGCAACCTGAACTGCATTTTAAAAAAAAAGAAAGAAGCAAAATGTAGTAGAAAATATAAAATCCTCACAAATGACTCCATTCTTCGTGGTGTCTGTCAATCAGATTCTCAAGATGAACTTCTAAACCTACTCAGTTTTCAATCTGCCCCTCCAGACACATATTAAAAATTTCTCGGGCCGATTTGTGAGCCTGAGGGACCAAGTTGAGAATCACTGATTAGTAAGAAAGTAAGTAGAGATCGAATACTTATAGTCAATTTGCTGTAAACGTTGGTCACTCAGCGGCATGCGTGCAGTTTGTCTCCTATTTATGAACTCCCGCCATGATTTCTGGAAATGTTCTTAAAGCACGATGGGACTGCTTCCGGTATTCATTTAATGGCGGCATCTTCAAGAGTGAGAAAAGACTATATAAAGCAAAGATTGTGTGGGGATGAGAGAGGGAGAGAAAGTGGCATTAAATCATCTAATTTGGAGAACTCTCTTTGTAATGAGTGGATTTTAACGATTACAAATGAAAACGAGATATCCGCCATTTTTGCATATCCCGTCCTCCTTTTAGACACTTACTTCCGTAGAGCTCATTATTTTTCGCGCCAAATTGTTTTACTTTTTCTCATTTGAATTTTTTATTCCTTTTCGGATTTTATTCTCATACTAATATCCCGCATTTTCATTTTCCTTTCCCAGTGTTTACTGCACACACAAGCATATATATATATATATATATATATATATATATATATATATATATATATATATATATATTGAGTACTCTAGCACAAAGTCTGCTTGCTTTAAATGCCTTTATCAGCAAACCACTGAAAAAACACCAATTTTGGCGTCAAAAACAGTCTTCCAAATTAATATATATATATATATATATATATATATATATATATATATATATATATATATATAAATTATATGCGCACTATTCAGTGGAAAGTGCTCAATGTCCGTGATAGAGCTAACATACTCAGCTGTATGGATATTAGTTTGTAACCTTCAGTTTCAAACTTTTGCGATCATCAGAGAAATTGGTTTATTTTTTTTTCAAATAGAACAATTTATGCTTATTTGCGTTTATTTGTGTGTGTTGGTGGAGGGTAATTAGTTTGTACAAACATACCATATAAATAATCTGAGGTTATGCGCCTAACACCAGATTTTATATATATATATATATATGTGTGTGTATGTGTGCGTGTGTGTGTGTTTAAAATAGGATAAAGAATCCAGACAAAGTTTTAAGAAATTTGACAAACAGAAACCGTTTAATTGAAAATAGATTTGATTACGCGCTTCGCCTTTCTAGGCTTCCTTAGATCCAAAAACGAAAGAAAGAAATGTGTGTGTATGCTTAAATATTGAATCATAGTACATTTTCTCCTAAGGTAGTGATTCTTGTGATTAAAGATGAAAGAAAATGAGTGACTTTAAAAAAAAGAAAGATGCTGTTAATATTTATTCTGTATCTTTTCTTTGTAATTCTTAGTTCATGTCGAAATTTCTTAATATATGTTTGCCAGCATTTTTGTATCGAATTAAAGGTAAATCAAATTTTCAGAATAGCTCGAAAGGAAGAAATTCATACAGCCTTTTCTGGAATGAATACAAGGCAAATCCTCGTAAAATCCTTCCGAATGTGCTGAAAGTCATATATATATATATATATATATATATATATATATATATATATGTGTGTGTGTGTGTGTGTGTGTGTGTGTATGTATGTATCAATATGGTGATTTTCTTTCGTCTTTTAATGATAATGTTATTAAGCTTATCAGACGATATAAAAAGAATTTACATAAAATAAATAGACAAAACTTGTATTATATGCATATTATTTAATATGTATATTATTTAATGAAACATGTATCAATGAAAAATAGCTGCTTAAATACACTCTCTCTCTCTCTCTCTCTCTCTCTCTCTATATATATATATATATATATATATATATATATATATATATATATATATATATATATAAAATAAAATATAAAATTCAAATACACAATGTGGTATTTATAGTTCTCGGTACTAACCATTTCCCAAGATCTGACCAAACAGATTATTAAAGTTTTCTTCCGAGAACATTTCATCAAAACTTCAGATACACGCTTCTAGTGTTTGATCATTTTCTAAGCGTAGCTTAGATGTGGCACACAGACGGAATGCATGAAGCACCCTGTGAGAATCGAACTCGCTAGTCGGTCGTTATTGCTTACCATGACACCACGTTGAAGCGATCAATGTATCTGCTATATGTTTGATGTATTTTGTATATCATTTCGTTTATTCATGTCATCAAAAATTACGTCTATTTTGATCTTATTTTTTCGCAAAGGAGACATTCTTAAATGTATTTCTCAAATCATGTTACATCTTTCTTTTACTTTCTTTCTATCCTTCTTTCTTTCTTATCTCACGCCATTCTTTTTCGTTTATTTCTTTGCCTCTTAACTTTCTTTTTTTTTTTCTTTGTTTTGTTTATTTCTTTCTTTTACCATCCTTTGGTTTCCTTTATTTTCTATGTCGTTTGCAATTTCTTTATTTCTTTTTGGAATCTCACGTAATTTCTTCCTTTACTTTCGTTTCCTTCTTGCTTACAATTTTCTTTCTTTCTTACTTTCTTTTTCCATTTTCATAGTTTTTCTTCTCCTTTCTTTAATTTTCTGCTTGTTTTAAATTTCTTTCTTTTTCTTTTTTTCTTTCTTTCCTCTTTTTCTATTCTCATAATTATTCATTACTTTCTTTTCCTTCTTGCTTAAAATTACTTTCTTTCTCAATCATCCATTCTTTCTTTTTTTCTTTTCCATTCTCATAGCTATTCTTTTCTTTCTTTTTCTTCTTGCTTACAATTTCTTTCTTTCTTTTGCATTCTCATAGCTATTCTTTTCTTTCTTTTTCTTCTTGTTTTCAATTTCTTTCTTTCTTTTGCATTCTCATAGCTTTTCTTTTCTTTCTTTTCCTTCTTGCTTACAATTACTTTCTTTCTCTATAATCCATTCTTTCTTTCTTTCTTTTCCATTCTCATAGCTATTCTTTTCTTTCTTTTTCTTGTTGCTTAGAATTTATATTTTCTTTTTCTTTCTTTCTTTCTTTTCCATCGCCATAGTTTTTTAGCCACTTTGTTTAATTTCCCACTAGCTTAAAATTTCTTTCTTTCTTTCTTTCTTTCTTTCTTTCTTTCTTTCTATTCTCATGGGTTTCCGTTTTTTTCTTTTCCTTCTTTCTTATGATATATTTCCCTTTTTTCTTTGATTTTTTCTTTCATTCATTCTTCTCCTCCCTCATAATTATTCATTACTTTCTTTAGCTTCTTGCTTAGAATTTATTTCTCTTTCTTTCTTCCTTGCTTTCTTTCTTTTCTTCTTTCTTTCTTTTTCTTTAGTTTTTCTACCTGATTAAAATTTGCTTTCTCTTTCTTCCTTCCTTTCTTTCTTTTCCATTCACGTATCTATTCTTTTCTTTCTTTTCCTTCTTGCTTACAATTTCTTTCGTTCTCTTTCATTCGTTCGCTCTCTTTTCTTTCTTTCTTTCTTTCTTTCTTTTACATTATTATAGTTTTCCCTTTCTTTTCTTTCTTGCTTACAATTTCTTTCTTTCTGATTCTTTCTTTCTTTCTTTTTCATTCTCAGTTATTCTTTTCTTGCTTTCCTTCTTGCTTCCATATTTTTTCTTTCTATTACATTCATTTTCTTTCTTTTTATTTTCTTTCTCGATCTCGTAGCTTTCCTCTTCTTTCTTTTCCTTCTTGCTTACAATTTATAGATCATTCTTTCTTTTTTTTTCCATTTATATGGTTTTTTCCATTTTCTTTAATTTGCTATTTGTTTAAATTTTCTTTCTCTTTCCTTCCTTCCTTCCTTCTTTCTTTCTTTCTTTCTTTCTTTCTATTCTCATAGTTTTCTTTTTTCTTTTCTTTCTTTCTTTCAATTTATTTCTCTTTCTTTTCCATTTTCATACTTTTTAAATTCTTTAATTTCCTACCTGTTTAAAATTGCTTTCTCTTTCTTTTTTTCTTTCTTTCTTTCTTTCTTTCTTTCTTTTTCATTCTTTCTTTCTTTCTTCCTTTCCTTTTCTTTTCCATTTTCATAGTTATTCTTTTCTTTCTTTTTCTTATTGCTTACAATTTACTTTTCTTTCTTTCTTTCTTTTCCATTTTCATAGTTTTGGGGTGGGGGGTTTCCTTTCTTTAATTTCCTACTTCTTTAAAATTTCTACTTTCTTTTTTTTCTTTCTTTTCCATTCTCGTGGTTTTCTTTTTCTTTCGTTTCCTTCTTGCTTACAATTCTTTTCTCTTTCTTTTTTCTTTTCCCTTTTCATAATTTTTCTTTACTTTTTTTAATTTCCCACTTTCTTACAATTTCTTTGTATTTTTACTTTTTCTCGTTTTTCTTTCTTATTTATTCTAACATATTTTCCACTTTTTGTTTCATCCTAGTTTTCAATTTCGTTCTTTCTTTCTTTTCTTTCTTACTTCTTTTTCTTTCTTTAGCTTACCCCTTCTTTGTAATTTCTTTCTATTTTTCTTTCTTTCCTTTGTTTTCCTCCTTGCTTACATTTTCTTTGTCTCTTTCTAATCTCAATCCTTTTTTTTATTTTTCTCTTTCATTTTGCTTTTTATTTTATTTTTTTTATTTACTAATAATTTCTCATTTTTCTCCTTCGTTATCTTCTTTTGCTCTTTCCTTCGTTGTTTATTTCCTACCTTAAAACCTTTTTTTTATTTCCTACCTTAAAACCTTTTTTTTATTTCCTACCTTAAAACCTTTTTTTTATTTCCTTCTTCTGGTTCTTTCCTCTTTCCCTCATTAGAAACATTTCTGTCTAATTTCTACTTTCCGCTAACAACAACAACGCCGCCACCCCTCCCATCGCCATTTCCTGACTTACACTTGTTCCGCGGGGCCATGATGACACCTGTACACGCATCTGATTCCCTTGAACAAGAAAGATTCAAAATGACGAGGGAAACAACATTGCAAATGTGGCGTGTGGTAGGGTACGCTGATTCACCCCCGTTGTTTTGTTCGATTCAAATTGACTGAGAACAAGTACAGACCAACTAATGCAGCAGTTTAACGAAAGGAGTAAATGAAGGTGAAAACAACAACAAAAAAAAAAAACAGAGTAAAAAGCGATACAAAATGGCGTCGAATTGGATTGTAAAAAAGGTTAGGGTGTTTTTTTTTAGCTCTAAAACTTCATTAGCACACGAAATTGATTAATTATTCATGTTGATAATGACGTCAAATATAGTTTTCTTAATCAGAATCATTAAGAAGATGTCAGCTTCCCACCAATTCCGAAATCAATCACAAGGCTTCTTAGATTTTTTCATTTTTTTTTTGTCTCACCTTCTGCTTTTTATTGTCTTTACTGTCTTTCATGCTACAGATTTAATTCTGTTCAAATTCAGATTACATTTAGCAAATATGTTCTTTAGTCATATCGGCAAAGTGAAATATTCGATAACGTATTTCTGTTATAATTTTCCTTACTGCGCTAATCTCGTGTTCTTGACAAAACTAACCTGGTCGTTCGTATCGAAAAGGACCTCCAATCGGTGGTGAACTGAGACAGGAATTGGCTGGTTAACTTTAACGCCTCAAAAACAAAACTGCTCTCTATTACTCACTACAGAGAACTATCACGACCCCCATTAGAATGTCTGACGCTCAACTTCTCGAGAGCACCTCTCTGCGGCTGCTCGGTCTCACGTTGACTGCTGACCTGAGATGGAACAAATACATTGAGTCAATAGCTTCGTCCACCGCAAGGAAAGTTGGCTCCCTATGCCGCGCCAGGGGATTTTTCTCACCGGAGTCGATCCTTCAAATCTACAAATTAACCATTTGCCCTTGCATGGAGTATTGCTGCCATATATGGTCTGGTGCCCCTTCAGTTTGTCTCAAGGTTCTTGATAAGATCCAGAAACGGATATGCAACTTAATTGGCTCTGATCTGGCATCTCGTCTGCAGTCGCTCTCTCACAGACGTGCCGTCGCCTGCCTCTGTCTTTTTTACGAATACATTCATGGTAACTGCTCCGAGGAGCTGCTTTCGTTGATTCCCAAACTTCATGAATTTAAGCGTTCAACTAGGCCGGCGTCTCGCTCTCACCCTTTCACTGTCGAAACTGTTGAACGTAGCCGTCTCTTCTACTCCAATAGCTTCATGTCTCGCACCTCTCGCCTGTGGAACTCCCTCCCCTCTTCCTGTTTCCTTGATAGCTATAATCTCCAACTATTCAAATGTAACGTCAATCGACGTCTCCAGATGCACTGATCTATCCCCTATCCTTCTCTTCATCCTTTCCTCTATCACTCCTATTTGCTCTCGCTCCAACTCTCTGTAACCCCTTGCGTGATAGTGGCTTCCCGCCTTGCTTGGGGTGAAACGATTTAAAAAAAGCTCCCAATGTACCTGTTAGGAAACACTTATTTTGAACCTTTACTATATTTAATATGTATCAATATCATCGTTACCATTCTCTCAAAATATTTTCCTGGTAGTCATTAGCGTTCGTCTTTTTGCTATCACCGCCTAAGGCATAGTCTTCTCCAAAGACTTGTCCTTTGAGTGGCTGTATTTATTGTTCTCCTAATCGCATGTAACATGAAAGTGGCTGTATTTATTGTTCTCCTTCTTTGACCGAAGTTATTTTATATATATATATATATATATATATATATATATATATATATATATATATATATAAAATACAGAGGATGTTTCTGTGTCTGTGTGATACTTTTCACTCGAGATCCATCCAACCGATTTTTACCAAACTTGGCATAAACATTGTACAATGTAAAATATAAGTTCTTAGCGTATATAATCGATATTTTTTAAATCAATAATCGATAAAGCCGATCAAAAAATCGATAAATTCAACTTTTTCCCCTGATTTCGTTCAAACTCGGTATGTTGTTTATTTAAATCATGACGAGCTCAACGATACTTTATTTTTTACTTCTACGCCACTGCGTTTAGCGAAAAACAGCGAAAAACGAAAAATTAATTTCAACATAAATCGATTTCAACACAGATTTTAAACTAAAAACACCCTCAATTTTCAAGCAATCTAATACAAACTTCACTCAATTGTAGCCAATAATAAGTTGATTGTTTAACAGTCATTTAACTTGATAATTAGCTCCACCCATATAGTGAAAACCAGCGTAAATAGCGAAAAATGGTTATTTTTACTGGTTTCTTTCTTATTTTTCGTTGATCTTTCAACCAATTCTCATCTAACTTAACAATTGCTTTATAAATGTATTCTCTTTTTTTTTTATCCCTGATAGCACACTGGCAAATTGAATTTAAAAAAATCCAAAATAATTGTGCTCTGAAGTGGGTTTTCATGTTGCCTGTTTTACCCCTTTATGTCCTTGGTTAACTTCGATTGAATAAATACAAAATACTTCTTTTATATCAGTAACTGCATTAATTCAAAATGTTTTTAATGAAAGTACTTCAAAGTAATTAAACAAGATAAACTCTGTTAGATCTAAACATGATGCTGTTTTTGCTCCATTCTAATTGAACGCTTTTTCTGATCGACCAGCTGGGCATGGCTGCTAGTTTTAACTATTTTCGATCTATCTCAGATTTAATTTATTTCGTTATACACTTGAACACTCTTAATCTTATACCCATCTTTGATCTCCGTTTCTTAATTCGATTGCATTTTTATTTAAATACGATCCCGAGAACTGGAGACATGTTCTTAAATATCTTCGTCAGATCTAAACTTTTGATATGGATGCCATGTATAGCATCACACTTTTTCAGAAATATCTAAAATGTCACCTATCTACAACCGCTTTCTCAGATCAATTGTTAAAAACGGCTTCGAATGAATGAAATCTGTAGGTTTTAGCGAGGATCATCCTACTTTGAACACCGTGAACTGGCGCTACACAGTCACAAACAAAGAGATTTACTAAATAGCAAAACTACATCACTTGGTGACTTAAAACAGCAGCAATAGCTAAAATTGGAAATAATAATATAATCAAAATATTGATTTCCCCACTACCTTAAACAAAAGGTTGGGAAGGAAACCTGCATCAGTACTAGAAAGGGGACTTGAGAAAACTTCGGTAATACACCTACAAGTATGAATCGAATCATTATAATATAGAGTTTAACTACTCTTTTATTCCGTCTTAAAAATACGACATTACTTTCCGAATAACCTAAAGTGTGTTAGTTTGTGGCGGGGGGTGGGGGTGCGCGCATTTGCGTATGAATGAAAAACATCACGAGAAAAGAAAAAGTAATTATTTCATGGTAGCGTTACAGAATCAGAGACAAAGTGATTTATTAAATAACAGAAACTTGAAGAATTCCAACAGCAGCAACAACTAAAACGGATAGTATATGTAAATAGAAGCGGAAATAAAGGTTATAACCAATATAATCACTTTCCACTCTACCACAAACAAAAAGTTAGGAAAGAAACTACCATCAATATTAGAAAAAGTTCAAACATTGGTTTGAGAAACCGATCTTCTGAAAAAAAAAAGTTTTCAAAGAAAATTTTATAAATTTCAATCTGTTTAGAACCACATCACATTGAAGCACCAGTCCTCGCACAATCACGGAAGTTAAGCAACGTCGAGCCTGGTCAGTACCTAGATGGGTTAGAACTGCGGAATACGAAGGGATGTAAGCTTGTGTGTGTGTGTGTGTGTGTGTGTGTGTGTGTGTGTGTGTGTGTGTGTGTGTGTGTGTGTGTGTGGTGCAATGGATAACTGTTCCGAATTTAAAATCGGAGAGCCGAGTTCCACTTCCAGTCGCGTTCGTTATATACACTTAGGCGCAAATACCCCCAGGAAAGGTAAGAATCCACCTCTTCTCTCTCCCCTCGCTATGGGTTAATTAGTAGGACTTATAACAGTAGAACATTATTATCTCCCAAAAATTATTAAACTCCAAAAATATTTCTGGCTTTAAATAACCAGCAAAAGATTGATAAGCCGTAAAAACAACTCATTCAGTCAATAAATAAATTTCAACTGACAGTAACGCTAACTGTTCGATCAATGAACGTCAAATTTTTCCTTATAAGGAAACGGCTTATCTCACTATTACCAATAACAATATTTTTTCTAACAAAAACTTTCATATCACATTTACAAATACAAATCAAATTATATAGATTTTAACTGCTTTTTAAATGGATTTGATCCCAAAATCGATTCACTAAGATGAATGTCATATAAAGTAAAATTTGAGTAATTCAATAAAAAAAATGGGAAACATCTATGTAACGTGTTTCGATCGCTCAAAGGACTTCATCAGAATAATGTAATGTTTTTATTGATGGAATTATATATATGTAGCAGTAGATGAAATATAAACATAAAATCCATTTTATTATGCACCTAGAGAAAACGCTAAGGTGTAGGGACGTTAAATTTTAAAACTTTTGATGCCCTACGTGTCTAGACACACAATTTAGCCGATCTCATTCAGTTTCCAACCGCTTTTTATCGATGTTGTTTATTATAATATAAATTTTAACTGCTTTTTATTCCGTCTTCAAAAAGTGACGTTACTTTCTGAATACTTTCGCGCGTGTGTGTGTGTGTGTGTGTGTGTGTGTGTGTGTGTGCGTGTGTGTGTGTTTACATGTTTGCGTATGAATGAAAAACATTGAGAGAAAAGAAAGAGTAAATTATTTCGTGGTTGTGAAGAGA